GGGGGGGGGGGGTGAGGGGCAGAATAAATTGCCACCGGTCATAATGCGAAGAGTATAGATGGTTTTACCAACTGCCCATACCCTTTGCAACAATATTGAATATTTCTGCAGCTCAAACACTACAACAGGTTAAATTATTAAAGGGGTATTAATTAATAACAGCAACATTCAATGATTTTATACACTGTGCTATACACAACAAAACAATATTTTAATATCAAGTATCAGTATATCAGACTTAAGTACTACGAAAACCCTTATTAGAAAGGAAATACAATTGTCTGAAATATAGGTCTTAAAGCCGTTATATATAACGTCTCAACTTACCCGCAAGCCCGATAACTGCACAAGCAGCGATGCACGAAAAAAACACGACAAAAACCAACACAAATTGTCTCTTTGTAAGAGAGTACAGCTTCATCTTTATTGATCTACGAGAATACATGTTTGATTTGAGTCGAAAATTCAAATACATCTACGATCACTTTTGTGCAATCGTCTGTAACAAAATGGACGTCAGCACTCAGCATAGCATATTTTACGAAACGCAAATTACTTACGATTCCATGGCGAATTTGATGCTGGCTTAAAGCGTGACGTAAGCCTTATGTGTCTTCATTCTTTTCCTTCATTTCAGTTGCCTAGCAAAAGTGATAATCGTAAAATTTATAACCAAAACAAAACACTTCTCTTGCAAATGAACGAATGTGTTTACATTACAACATTAAATGACGCCCCGGCTCAAGATCAAAGATCATCTTTTGCACAGCGGCACGTTTGCATACTTCATATAATGTACGCGATATACTTTGATACCGTCGTTTGCATCTATTCATGAACATTGACAGATAACCTTAGTTGCAGATGAAACAGTGTCTGTGCTCACATAAAACTTCAACGTTTGTCAAAAGTGTTTGTCAAATTTAAATCTGATCATTCGTCCCTTATATAAATCTTCAAATGCTCTTGCCAAACATAAAAGTTTCATGCGATGTCTGTGAGAATAGATATGCTTAATCAGTTTAATCTTCGATTCGGACTGCTTAATATCCTCAGAAATAATCAATTCAATTGCAGTTCTCGATAACCCTGGTACGTCCCGGAGATGGACTATTTTTTCTGTAGCTCTAATGATGGGGCATCTTTTCAAATTTAGTCTCCTGCACTGCAACTCCAAGCAGTTTTATTATCTATAGTTTCAGGGTGAAGAGTAGATCCTGCCCAGTGATACTGTCATGATGGTGGGTTATCACTAAGACTACTAACACTAATAGACTCTGAGGTGCCAAGGCTAGGAGAAACTAGTTACAGTGAATAATTCGACCTAACACGTAATTTTGTCAATAGAACTGATTTCGTAGATTTCAGCGCAGTGAACGGCTGAACGCTGTCGCTATTGTCAGGTACCCGTCAAGACAAACTATCGTAATTCATCCACAAAGACGAAGTTGCATTACTTGTAAAACTAGAAAGAAAATCCCACAACCATTGGCAGTTTAGATCGCGCTATTTTAGATAAACTGCCTGTACCAGTGTGGGTAGTACCAATGGCAATGCCAATGTGAAAATGCTGTGGCAATCTAAACAGTTGATCTTGTGTTTATGGTCTTTACAGGGACCAAAGGAGGTTGATAAATCCACTGTTAATTTTTTCAAACCGTTCACTATTTTGCCTCTCGAATGTGTTCACCCAAACGTTCTTATAGTTTAGTGCCGATTTTAATTAACTCTTTACCGACATATCAATTATGAATTTAAATAGTTTTGTTAATTTGTTGTATTAATTAAAACGGTTATGTTTGATGTTTCCACCTAATTTCTTCATTGATAATGCTTTGCTGTTGGCAGTTTTCATTGTAAACTGACTTTTGTAGCGATTCGTAGAAAAATCGGAAGGTTTAGAATCTTTAGATCCAAACCGGTGAAATTGGAAATCCCGATCTGATATATAGTGAGGGTTGAACCTTTGAACCTCTGGCGATTGCGCCACCGTTCACCGAATTTAAAAGGTTACATTCTGATCATGTTTTAAACACCATGGTTGAGTACCATGTCATGGTTTCTAGATCTGACGGTGATGCATCACGGTCAGGAAGTGTCCTGGCTTTGGGCCAAAAATTGGAATATTTAAAACCCAATGGCAATGATATTCCCTCGAACTTCACGAAATAACTTTCTTCTTCGAAGCTGTAACGACTTTTACAAACTGAGTACTACATTGATGTCCGTGCAATGCCTCATGTACACTAAATGTTCACAAACGTGACAAACAAACTACCCGCTGACACTCTTACATGAAAGAGCCAAGTGTCATGTTACTATTGACATTTCTGGTTGACACATATTGACATGTTGACTAAGGTGCATATATAGTCATAGATCATTTTCAACATGTAATAGAGCGCAGAAATAAAAACTGTAATGGTTTATCTACATTACAAGCGGCAATACAGTCAGCATATACAGGGCAATATGTGGGCAATCAAATAACGCGAAGTTGCTATAGTGAATAATTAATAGTGTTCTTCTTAACAATAACGGCGTGCTGTGATTGGTCGGAGATGGTCACATGATTGTTAAATTAATTGTTTGTTAGACCACCTGGCACTTGGCTGTGTATTACGTTTGCCTATCGCGACTGGAAGGCAGAAATTTAAAAAACACAATTTGGCTGAAAAATTTGGTTTCACCATCGAAACTTGTTGGAACTAGTAACGTTTAAACTACGCTCAAACGCTCGGGGAAAGTGTTGGATTAAATAATGTCTGATTCTTTGGCGGCTACGAATCATGCAAAACCGTACAACAGCAATTTTGTTGTGGCGAGCTCGTCACCACATCACAACGACGCCATGATAGATTCCAACTCGACTGTATCTAGTTATGGATATACCAATACAAACAAAGTACAAAAGCATTTAATGAACGAACTAAATCGAAGAATGAGTCAACGAAAACGAGCCAAAGTAGGTCCAGCATAAAGATAGCAACAACAAAATCGGAGTTTTAAAACCTAGGGTTGTCAAGTATATGTTGATGTTTGACAGTGAAGGTTGCATACCGCCGGGACGGAATTTACATTTTTTCAGGAAACTAGCTGGTTTTGAAACCAAAAATGAAAGTAAAAAATACTGTTAAATTACCTCAATTTCAACTATTTTCACTATCTTCAGAAATACTTTTCTCTATACCTTTATAAAATATAAACAAAACTTGATTATATTCTGCGGATTTCCGAATGTTGGTTTCGGGCAGTAAATTCGCGGGAAAATTTCGCGGGAAGCTTGAATATTTTCGTCCCCAGAGGATTTGCTAATAAATTGTGTGACGGGGTCAAATGGTTAATGTTTTATTATATTGAGAGGTTCTTGTGATATATTGATAATATATGAATGATCAATGCGGCCGGAAATTTTTCCTGCAATGTTGTCCACAGACATATATAAACCTAAACATTTCTACATGCAAAAATGACCAAAGTGTAAGTTCACTATTAAAAATATTTGAAATCATGCAAAGAAAAATTAAGTGTGTATTAAAATAAATTTGCCCAACCGAATAATTTAAGTTATTAATATATAAATGTTGCCTATTGTTTACATATCGTAAAGCCTAAGCGTCTTTGTTTCAAAGCACATGGCGATTGCATGTCTTGTACGGGGGGACGGTAAAAAAATTGCTGCCATTAAACTTATAACTTGAGAATTTTGGTCTTATTCAAGAAGCTATGAAGAGAAGTATTAATCCTGTAAGATCTACAGGCATTTTATATTATTTTTAATATAAATTTAGTTAGTTTTTGGCTTTATTCTTTTGCGAAGTTGGTATATTTATGTTTTATATTTAGGAAATTCAACATGGCGGTCTGTACAAAAGATTTCGTGATTTCTTGATTTGTCCCCATGGGATTTCAAATAAATTCAAGAATAATATTGTAGCCCCTGGGGAATTATAAACGAGGGGTTTATTTTCACCTTAGGGATTTGTTAATTTGACTGTAGAATTTTATTGTGTACATGTATAAATCGCGTATAAAATCTGCAATATAATATGTTTGCTGTTTGCACCAAGTAAAAAATATGCGAGAATTATAGATATTTCCATGTATTTCAGGAAAACATTTATAATGCTTGAATTCGGCGCAATTTTGTTGGCAAAGGCAGACAAAACTGTAGTTGTTAATGTTATTCTGTGTGTGTTTTTGTATGGAAAACTTAAATGGCCTTTGAATAGGTACTATGGTAGACAGTAGTCTATGCTTAGTCATATAGATCATAGAGAAAATATGAATTGGCGTATTTAATAGTAATAACTTGAGTAAGGAAAACAGAATCAATTGCCTTACTAGACGCAGATTATCCGCCAAGATGGATCATCTGCTAGAAGGATAATCTGTCAAAAGACTGTGAGTACATATCACAGAGTACATTAGATACAGAGGTCCGATTCAACCAAAAACCTTGCCACGCCATGATTTGCAATCACAATGTCGTCTCCATGTTCCTAGCCAGTGCACAAACAAGAGGCACTCTCCCCCCTGAGCCTGCATAAGCCACGCCAGCCATTTTTAATGTTTTCAGGGAGGTGACAACCTCATCTTAGCACAGGCTAGGAACATGGCGACAACATTGCGATTGAAAATCATATATTTGCAAATCATGGCAGTTACGCTATCAACAAAGGCACTGTCAAGGAGTTCAACTTCTGTATGTGTTTATTCTGTGCTAATATGGGCACCAGTGGGACACAACTCTCAAGTGTCAGAGAGGTGTCCCCACGGCTGGTAATCTTATGTCTGTTAGGAGAGATCAGATCTAGATCTAGTATAAATTAGGTCAATAATGAATATTTTTACACACAGGTGGAATACACAGAAGTGGATGAGAAGCTAGCCAGGTTGACAGATGAAGAGTTATCAGACTCTGAGATATTGAAGAATAATGGAGTGGAGATAGTAGTGGAAAGACAGAATTCAAGACAGCCTGAGAAAGACGTGCCAGAGAATGATGATGATGAAGAAGAGGATGATGATGACCTACCAACTGGTATGGAATATTGTCTGGGTATATGCATACAAGACGGGGGAGGGGGATTCTAGCCCCCCCCCCAAAAAAATCTTTAGAAACCATGGAAATTTGGGCAAATGCTAGGAAAAATCAAGAAAATTTGAGCAGATTTATCAAACATCAGCCCCATACACCTATTATCTTTACAGATTTCGTTATTAAGGATATATGTGTTTAGCTCAGTTTATTTCAACCCAGTTCAGACCATTATGTACTCTAAAGTGCCTATTTTTATATACACAGAAATATCTAGTATACAATCCAAAATTATTACATTATCATACCTACAAAGATTATCAACACAGTCAATTTTTAACCATTGAACCAAAACGGGCCCTACTTTGTTATTTTAAAAAATTTCCCCAACAACTTTGCTGATCAAGAAGAAATTGTTTAGAGTATGTTTGTTATTTTACTCTGTCTAACAGCAGACAATTTTAGTTGTCAAGGAAATGTGTTAGGAGTGTATGGGTTAAGCTTGAATATATTTGTTTAGGTCTTGAAGGAGCTGCATTCCAAAGCCGTTTGCCGTATGACAAAATGACAACACAAGAAACAAATTATTTTCGAGATATTTCGGACGGACAACCAGGACTTCAAAGACAATTCTTATATGTCCGCAACAGATTGGTAAATGAATAGCCATCTGCTTTGTACAGTAGACATTGATGTGCTTTTTTGCCATAATTCAATGTCATGTTTTATTTCTACTTAGCTTCAAATTTGGTTAGAGAATCCAAAACAACAGCTAATTGTTGAACATGCTATTCGTGAAATGGATCCTCAGCACAATGGTGTGTAAATCAATCTCTTTGAAATAGCACAGGAAAAAACTTAAATTCCAATAATGGGTTTTGAATAGTTTTTTTTTTAAGATTAACGCTTACCAAAATTGGTTAATTAAATGACAAATTTCCCAAACAGTTAATTGGTAAAAACCATGATGTTTAATAATTTACCATTAATGGCACTGTCCTGCCTTTCCTGTACACCTAACTGACCTAAGAAAGCTATGGTGCAATAGCTGAAGCACCCACTACCAGAAGGTGTGCAGCACTTTGCCAGATGAGCCTAGTTTTACACTTTCTTATGTAGCAAACTAATCTCCAATTACAATATTCAACTGATTTCTTTAACCATCTAATTAGTTGACAGCAAGCTAGTTCATCGTGTGTTCGCATTTTTGGAGAGATATGGTTCAATTAACTTTGGTGTATACAAGCAACTGAAGCCCATGCCTAAAAGTAAGTCACAATACTTTGATAACTGATACCATATAAAAAAGTGGAAAGCTTATAGTTACTGTATATATTAACACCATGTACTTCTTTTCTGTTTCAGTAACAAATTCACCAAAGATAATAGTGATTGGTGCTGGGATATCTGGCCTCACTGCTGCTAGACAACTGCAATCTTTTGGTTTCAATGTGACAATGATTGAAGCTAGGGTAGGTAGATATCCTAAGTGTTTTGCTTTTAATACTTGATAAATAGAATTATCTGTTACTAGATTCAGAAAAGTAGGGCTGCAGATTGATAGGGATGCAACTACATGAAAAGTACAAGGAGAACTTCAGCGTTTCAAGCGAAGGCCCTTCGTCAGGATGTTAGTAGCAGGTGTTGGGGAAAGTTCATGTAGTTTTCCCAACCCCCACTACTATAACTTCCTATTCTTAATTAATGTAAACTTTGACAGGAAAGAGTGGGTGGTCGTGTTGCAACATTTCGTAAAGGACAGTACATTGCAGATCTTGGTGCCATGGTTTTGACTGGACTGGGTAAGATCAATAATCACCCCTGTCAAGATCAGTGGGTATCATACATACACTATAACCATATTCCGTCTACCAATATAATGGCAGTACCACATAATAATAAATGTACCTAATTTTGTTTCCAAAGGTGGCAATCCTCTTACAGTGTTAAGCAGTCAAGTTAGCATGGAACTACACAAAATAAATCAAAGATGTCCTCTGTTTGAGACTAATGGAAGAAGTGTATGTGAAAAAATATTTGAAATTAGATTAATTTCTTGAAAACTTCAATTTCTTCTCCAAAACTGCTGTAGTTAACTGCCATGGGTATCTTGTGAATTAATCAATCAGCAAGCCAGTTGGACTGTCAGATCGGTTCCGGTGGTTGGTCGGTAGGTTAGTGGGTAGGTTGGTCGGTCAGTAAGTCGGTCACCATTTCACTGAAACTGAGAAAAACTTTGGATGAAAAGTCAACAATGAACGTAAAGGTGGAAGGTTATTATAATTGTGATTCCCACAATGAAACAGGAAAGACTTAAAGACAGCATGCAGGTCATCCAGAATAAATGTGTGGAAGAAAGCAACACATTCAGCATTATGTCTTATTCTGTCATTCTGATGTTCTAGGTTCCCAAAGACAAAGATGACATGGTTGAGCAAGAGTTTAATCGATTGCTTGAAGCAACATCATACATTACACACCAGTTAGATTTCAACCAGATTGATGGCAAGCCACTGACACTAGGCCAAGCACTGGAGATGGTTATTAAGTGAGTTAACAGTTTTTATACAGTACAAGTATGTAGTTACCAGTAGTTACTGTAGTAAACTCGTTTGGCATTAGAGAGATACCCTGTGATCCCCCTCTGGTCGGGGCTGTCACCATCCTTGTGAAAGAAAGTAGATATATCTCTGTAACGGCCAATTTGTATACAGCAGACAAAAGACAAGCCCAGACTATGTCATATTGGTGACTGTGAATTGATTACATCTGAAACGCAATAACTCCCTTTCCAAATGCCAGAACTCCCTTTTCAAATGCCAGAACTCCCTTTTCAAATAGCAGAACTCCCTTTTCAAATAGCTGAACTCCCTTTTCAAATAGCTGAACTCCCTTTTCAAATAGCAGAACTTCCTTTTCAAATGGCAGAACTCCCTTTTCAAATAGCCAAACTCCCTTTTCAAATAGCAGAATTCCCTTTTCAAATAGCAGAACTCCCTTTTCAAATGGCAGAACTCCCTTTTCAAATGGCAGAACTCCCTTTTCAAATAGCAGAACTCCCTTTTCAAATAGCAGAACTCCCTTTTCAAATAGCAGAACTCCCTTTTCAAATAGCAGAACTCCCTTTTCAAATGGCAGAACTCCCTTTTCAAATAGCAGAACTCCCTTTTCAAATAGCAGAACTCCCTTTTCAAATAACAGAACTCTCTTTTCAAACGGAAAAACTCTCTTTTCAAATAGCAGAACTCCCTTTTCAAATAGCAGAACTCCCTTTTCAAATAGCAGAACTCCCTTTTCAAATAGCAGAACTCCCTTTTCAAATGGCAGAACTCCCTTTTCAAATAGCAGAACTCCCTTTTCAAATAGCAGAACTCCCTTTTCAAATAACAGAACTCCCTTTTCAAATAGCAGAACTCCCTTTTCAAATAGCAGAACTCCCTTTTCAAATAGCAAAACTCCCTTTTCAAATAGCAGAACTCCCTTTACAATTGGCAGAACTCCCTTTTCAAATGCCAGAACTACCTTTTCAAATGCCAGAATGCCAGTACTCCCAGTTATCAACTTGACAACTTTATTTTGATTATTAATTAAAATGAAAATTAGTTTGTTCTTTTACCGAAAGTGACTGGTCAAAATGACCGGCAAGGTAAGAATTTGATCGGACAACTCCGCATTCTGTCCGGACATTGTCCGTTGACCGTCCGTTATTTCGCGCCCTGAGCCGCGATCAAATGGGACTACAACGTATTGAATGAGGTTGCTTATCACTTGTGAAATATTATTTAGATTACAAGAGAAGCAAGTGAAGGAACAACAGATTGTGCATTGTAAGAAAATTTTGGAAGTTCAAGAGAAAATGAAATTAGTTCTTGCTCAGGTATGATAGACATTGTGCTAGCATACAAACTGGTGTGCAGAAGGGTGTTATAGATCGAAATTATCGCGTGTGAAGACCTAACCAGGAAGAGTTTCGAAAAATGCAAGTACAGACCCTCAGGAATCGAAGCTGTGACCCTGCGATTCCGGTGCAGCTCTCTAACCAACTGGCTGTTTGTAGCATTTTGGTAAGCTTTTTTGACTCTTTGAAATATATATTGAATTAATTTTATCTTATTAGATGAAACAGGTGAAAGAAAAACTTACTGTCACACATCAAGAATATCAAGACGCCATGAAAGTTCCAGAACCAAGGTAAGAAATAGCGTACATTTACAACTTCGTTGGCTCTGCAGAACTTTTAATGACATACTTTCCTAAAAGAACAAATAAAAGTTTAGGCACATAGTACATCTTTTCGGGTTTTTTTGCAGAGAGGTGGAGGCAGAATTCGAATTAAGAAGCAAACTACGCGATATCTGCTATTTTTGTAAGGTAGGAATTGGATACATTGATAGGTTAGGGGCAGTTCGTGTTGAAACTTTAGAAGTGAATTAAATCTCCCGATTCTGTTAAAACACTACCATTGATGTTATTATTTCAGGAGTATGATGCCTTGGATGAGGAACAGCATCAGCTCGGAGAAAAATTGATCGAACTTGAAGATAACCCACCTAGGTACTGAATAATTGTACTCATTTTCTTTTATGCATCTATATTAACGGGAGGATTATGAGGCATCTTTGTCGCAACTGGTACATAGCCAAATCGTCCTTGATGTTCCAAATCAGGCAAATCTTCCATTACTTCATTCCAAATCTTCCGTTCTATTCTATCATCCTCTTCTCCATTACTGGCTCCCGTCATAACTGTATCATGATGTCTTTTTTATAAATTTACTTTCTGTTGCTACAAAGTTAAAGAAAATATCAGTTTAAGTAATGAACTCTATCTTCACTACATTCCTAGCGATGTCTATCTATCATCAAGAGACCGTCAGATTCTTGACTGGCATTTTGCTAACCTTGAGTTCGCCAATGCCGTGCCATTGGAACGACTGTCGTTAAAACATTGGGATCAAGATGATGATTTTGAATTCAGTGGTAGTCATGTGACTGTACAGAATGGTTATGCCTGCCTGCCTGCAGCTCTTGCAGAAGACCTCGATATCCGCCTGAATACTGCCGTCAGACAAGTCCGCTACAATCGATCAGGTTGGTAATACCGTATTATTCCTTGGTCACTCCCTTTCTGCTCACTACGAGCTTCAACTCGCCTGTAAAATCATAAAATTATCAGCCTGGTAAACATATGAAGTGGAATGGATTGAATGACTAAATTCACAGCTAGGACTTCCTTTAATCTTCGGTACCAGTGTAGGTAGCGACGTTAAGTTCTAGACTGTTCTTTCCGGAGGTCCATTAAAGGTCATTTCTTACTGATCGAGTGTTTCCACTAGCCTCCTCGGCAGGCATCTCTATGAGTTTTAACCTGCGAATGGGTGTTGAAATAAAAAAGATTCCCTGGGCGAGATACCTGCGGAGGAGGCTATGTTTCTACAGGAGGACACGTTAATACCTGGAGAAAACACGCGGTGCATTGTTGACTCAAACTGGAAATATTCTTCTCATATGTGACCAAGGGAAAGTTATGAACAGACAATTGCATGTCCAGGTGATGGAGGTGAAAGGGTCACCCACAAAGGCACTGGTTTCTGGTCGATATATATGTTAAACTTAACGTCTAATCTTCTCGCCTTTCTAGGTGTAGAAATAATCACGCAAAGCACAACCAAGGCTGCAATCAGCACGACACAAAGTTTCAAAGGTGATGTCGTCTTGATCACTCTACCACTTGGAGTGTTAAAAGCGATGCCAGAGACGGTTCAGTTTCATCCACCTTTACCAGAGTGGAAAACTAAAGCTGTTGACAGGATGGGATTTGGTAACTTAAACAAAGTTAGTACGAGCTCTATGTCTCCTGTATAGCTTATCATCCTACCTCGCCCAACCTTACCATCACATACCTTACAATGTGTCACCGTACCTCGCCTTGATAACCTTACCATACTACGTATCTCAAACTCATTAATAATTCATGAGTAAATTAGCCAATCATATTGCTTTATTTTGCTCACATGATAATAGTGGATACCTGGTGAAGTATATTGATCCTGTCCTGGATCAAAATTAATTCATCTCACTTTAAGTAGTGATTTATTCGTATCAGATGTCATTTCAAATCCTCGGACTGAACTAGATTTCAAGTCCTCGCATTTTGATCCAGTCCTCGGCTTCGCCTTGGGCCAATCTCGTTCCCCGAGCCTGCGATCCTCGGGAAGGAACGCGAGGCTCTGGGATAATCCGTTGCCGGAAGCCAGGAATTCTGGCTAAGATTGAACTACGCATTCCATTTCAACGGCCAAGCAGATTCCTCCCTGAAACGGATTATCCCAGAGCCTCGCGTTCCTTCCCGAGGATCGCAGGCTCGGGGAACGAGATTGGCCTTGGGCTGGATCAAATTTCGTGGACTTGAAATCTAGTCCAGTCCTCATAGTCGGATTTGAAATATGACATACCATACCATACCCTTACCATACTTTGATAAACTTGATTATCTTACCATACACCATAGGCACCATACCTCATCTTACCTTGTTTACCATACCATGTCATACCTAATCTTACCTTACCTAGCAATCTTAAATCTAACACGTAACCTGCTCATTTACATTATTCTAGGTGGTCCTCTGTTTCGATCGTGTCTTCTGGGACCGTTCTACCAATCTTTTTGGTCATGTCGGCAGTACTACAGCCAAACGTGGTGAACTATTCTTATTCTGGAATCTCTACAAGACTCCAATCTTGATCGCTCTAGTTGCTGGTAAAGCAGCAAATGAACTGGAAGCTGTCGCAGATGAAATCATTGTCGGACGTTGTGTGGCCGTACTCAAGGGCATATTTGGTAGTGGCAATGTACCACAGGTGAGGAACACTATTGAAAATAAGTGTGAGGGGGTTCTCCGCCAGGCGATTGTGCTATTCTTGAAGCTCGATGACTGCATTTCTTGCATTTTCTGAAGCAAATTCGTAAAAGAATCGCACTAACATTTCTGACAATTCGCTATTTCGCCAAGGCAATCCTTTAAATTGGAAGGGCACCTTTGCCCCCCTTGCCCCTCCTGGTAAAGGGCAACGAGGGCGGCTGCCCCTCCTGCCCCCCAGTTCCGGCGTCCCTGACTGTACTAGCTTTTTGCGGAATCCGATACATTTTGTTGGCAGGCTTGTAACTAACTCATTAAGGTTTGGCTTGTAACTAATTCGTTAAGGCATTTCAAAAATGAAATAAGCAGGCTTGTAACTAATTCATTAAGGCATTTCAAAAAATGGGATTCCCACACGGCAATCTTGGAAATCAGTGTGTTTTTTATATATAGTATTTAGTATTAAAATTAATCTAGTAACTAGATGCATGTAAGATTTTTTGTAAATAGTACCGACACTGAAGATTTTACCGTGTTTAAATAAATGTTGAATGTTCAAAAACCGTCTACGAACGTGCGCGTGCATGCGCAACTCGTCTTTATTACTGAGAAAAATATCATGTATGATGTTGTCCCGAAACCTGTGCCAGTATAAATCATGCTATTCTAGCTAGTTCGTCACTAAAACGGCGAATTTCTCAGGCGGATGACCCGTCTTCAGTTGACGGATGTTCCGTCTATGAGTATTGTTCAAGAAGTCATTGAACTGTCAGGAATATGTCATGTATGGTTTTTTCCCCCAAAGACATTTCCAGTATAGATCATGCTATTCTAGCTAGTTCGTCTTTACAGATACAGATACAGATATTTCACAGCACACTCCCTATCAGGGATTTTCAGTGACTGGTTACATTATGAATAGATAGATAGAACCGGACTGACGTGAAGCAGACCGAGGTAGACTTTGAGCTTACAAATGCCGCTTGAGCAGTCGCTATTAGTCCATACCTCATTAATCATTCTTGTGTGTACTTTTAAGCCAGTTTTCAAATTGAACTGTAGCGTAGCGTATTTCTTTGTTTCCTCAGCACTAGAGTGGAAGTAATGACTTTGACACAAAAGAAAATGCTACGATACGTTACGTTACGTTACGATTGAAGTGGAAAACATGCTTAAGACGGGTGATCCATCGTATAGATCGGATGATCTGTCTCAAGTGGAAATCTACAGGGTTGTAGTTTAACTCTTGTGAAACAAATTTCTCTTGCAGCCCAGAGAAACCGTGGTAACCCGTTGGAAATCAGACGAGTGGTCTCGCGGTTCGTATTCGTACGTTGCGGCGGGCTCCTCGGGCAACGACTATGATCTCATGGCTTCACCAGTCGCGAACAGCACTCCAGTGGCAGGCATGGGGCCTGCACAGCCAAGAGTATTTTTTGCTGGTGAACATACCATACGAAACTACCCTGCCACTGTACATGGTGCATTACTCAGTGGGCTCAGAGAGGCTGGAAGAATTGCGGATCAGTTCCTAGGCTCGCCTTATAATTCTGCACGAATGTGAATACATGACATGAATGATAACAGAACTGTGTTAAATACTTTGGTTTAGGGTATTTCAAGCCTGAACTAGGCAGAAATGACCAGCAAAGACTGCTTGATTGGTAATATACTTCATTGTTACGAAGAATATCGATGAGAAACGTTTACCTACAGAGTCAATGCATCGAGGACGATGTGTCGATCGTTTCAACCCAAATTTCCTTGAATGCATTCACAACTATGGTTTCTATAAATAATGAATAATTCGCATCATATGCCGACTCATACCTATGCGCCTTACTTTATTCAATCTTAGATACGTGCGGTTTTATCACTTGTCAGCCTCGACGTTGTGTCACTGTCCAATTTAAGTGCATTGGGAATAAGTTTTGGAGTACAGTTGTAAAGATGTTTGTAATAATGTAAATATGTTAAAGATTGATATTATTAAAGTAATTACATATCACAATTATATTGACTGGTTAAACTTTGTGTGTATTACTGTTACCATTCTCCACTGTTTTAAGCAGGAATGCCAGAAGCATAGGTGTAATCATTGCTTTTTGTAATCACAACAGACACAACTTTCTGGGTGTATTGAGGGTATGGGTGCAACGAAGTCTGCACCCACATTGTACCACCGATGCATCGCACCCAGAAAGTTGTGATTACAAAAGGGTACACGTGCACCTGCTGTAGTGCTGCACCCGTTGTTCTGGCATCCCTGGTTTTAAGGTAAACGTGATTAGGACAGGTGCAGCAGGACCCATTTCGAATACTGGAAAGTATCTCTTGTTTGGTGGGTAGTCAGCCCAGCAAGTTGAGGAGTTAAACTACTGTTGATGCAAAACAGAATTAACTATGCCCAAAGTAATACTTCAAATCACAATTATATTTCCTTTATTTGATAACTGCACACAAAATACATAATAATTCTCTCCACAACACACTTAATAAAAAATTATAACACTCCAATCATAAGCTAAAATAAATAGCTGACATATATATATATACATATTAAAAAGCAATTCCTCCAAGAGACACTGCAAGTCATAATAAGCACATGTAATTTATTTTAAGAGAGGAACAATTTTTTGAAACTTTTTAAACAATTGATGCAAGTTTTGCAACTTATGGCAACATTCTTCCTAAAGCTTCCCTTTCCCTCTGTGACAAATTTTCTGGAATTTGCACTTCGAATTTCACTAACAAGTCAGCACGGTGATTGGGTGTCTTCGGCAGCGGAAGCCCCTTACCATTTATCCTTTTTGTTGTTCCTGGCTGTGTCACTGAATTTAATTGTACGTTCTCTGTTCTTCCTTCCAGTGTTGGAATCTTAACCGTTGATCCTATAAGGGCCACTTTTAACGATAGTTTACATGTGTGTAGCAAGTTATTGTCTGAATCCCGTGTGAATAGGTCATGCGGCTTATCTTTTATTACAAAGATGATATCAGCAGGAGTTGTTCCAGGTTTCTGATCACCTTCCTTGGGAAATGTTATTTTAGTTCCAGCCTTCCAACCTTTCTTAATATCAACTGTTAAAACCTTCTCTTCTTCAAATGTCATTCCACCTTCTGTGACGTTTCTTGTAATTTTCATTTTCTTTGTTGTACCATTTAGTAAGTCCTCCAGACTGATGGGCAGGTTTCGGTAGATAGGTGGGTCTTTCGCCACCCGGGATGGAAGGTTTTCTGCTGAGTGTGACTGCCCAAACATACCACCAAGACTACCAAAATTTGAAGGAAAGGCTGACATGCTCGGACCTGCTCCACCAAAAGCATGAGAACCAAAACCACTGTTTTTGAGGAAATCTGAAAATACACGAGAAATATGATTTCAAATGGTCTGTGCCAGAGATACAACTAATTGAAAACAAGCAGAACTTCAACGTTTCAAGTGAAGGTCCTTTGTCGGGATCTAACACATGTATTCTAAAAGCTCACACTCAAAGAAAGAGTGGAGGTGTAATCTGAGCTTCCCTTGACTGTCAATGCTGTTTTTGAATAGCTGGAGGGTTAGTGTCATACCTTACTATGTGACAACTCACCCTCCAGCTATTCAAAAACAGCATTGACAGTCAAGGGAAGCTCAGATTACACCTCCACTCTTTGACTGCTTTCAGAATACAGGTGTAACTTCCCGATGAAAGGGTTCACCCGAATGTTGAAGTTCTGATTGTATTTTTCAGGTAATTGTATCTCTCAATCTGCCGCTGTCTAAGACAAATTTGACTAAATGTTTTGTGCCAAGGTACTTTTCACCATGACTCAAAGTTCTGGAGTACACGAATCATATGCTGCAAGTGGGGAAGATAAAAAAGAGCCATTTAAGATCACTGGGTCACCATTCATCCTTGAAATTATACAAATGGCATATCAATTTCATGCAAAAACTGCCAACACCATAATTTACGGGTAAATTATGTATCCAAGTGCCCCCCCCCCCCCAAATTTATGATGGCAGCAAAGGGTGAAAGGGGTATACTCCTCTACACCAGCTGACCACATTAATAGTCAAATATGAAGGGCTTGTTTTGGACATGAATATTATAGAAGGGAACTATGTTGATATAAACTAAATTTTTGAACTATATAGCAACACATACCTTTAAAGGGGTCTTCATCTCCGAAGAAGTCGTTAAATGTTTTGAACGGATCTCCGTTGAAAAATGTAAAATTAGCTGGCATTCCTTGGAACCCCCCAGCTCCACCTCCAAAACTAGGCTGTCCTTTCAGTCCGTCTTCTCCGTACTTATCGTATACAGCTCGTTTGTCTTTATCCTTTAACACTTCAAAAGCTTCGGCAACTTCTTTGAATTTATCCTCTGCATCTGGGTCCTTGTTTTTATCAGGATGATATTTCAAAGCCATTTTTCTGTAGCCTTTTTTGATCTCATCGTCCGTTGCTGTGCGTGATACGCCGAGAATTTTATAATAATCTTTTCCCATGCTTTCTAAACTGATGAACTGCTAATGTTTCCGAGGTTTTTGTTCAAATAGTTTCCTACAATATCGAAATTTTCGCTTTTATATCATGACAGCAATATGGTGAAGAGGAGAAAATGTTTTTTCTATTTTTAGAACTCCACGAGAACCAATCGGATTCAAGGAATACCACCATTCAACCAATCAGAGACGAGTATTAATGCCATATTTGGTATGTGGTTCTAGATCTTTCCTTCGCAAGGTCATGAGTCAGCTGAGAAGAGAAACAGATAAGTAGTGGAATTTCAGTTCGTTTTCAACTTTTTAGTGATATTTTGAAGTGAAATTGTGACTCAGCATGAGCTTCAATATTCCTATTATCTTTGACGACTCTCCGTTTTTCGACTGGGGCGATGTACGGCGACCACAACACAGACGAAATTGCCAAAGCAGTGGCAGACGACAGCCTAGTGTATTTGGGCAGTGGGAGGATCCAGAGTTTTTCTACGATTATCCTGCTAGAAAGCAACATTACAGACCGAAGTATAGTGAAAGGCAACGGGAATATGACAGACAATCTCCCGAAAAACACAGCTTTGATGATGAGGGGGCACAAGAGGATATCTATGACACTGAGGAACAGAGAAGAGCACCAAGGAGTAATTTCGGTTATGATGGCTGGGACATACCGGTACAACATATGGATAGAGCAAGCCACAAACATCACAAACATAAACATATGCCAAAACAGAAGTCTAAAGCACATCATGATATTAGCTATGATAACGAAGAGCCTAAACGACCACAAAGGAAGGTAAACGAAGCAAGCAATGCTAACGAGGTTGCTTCTGATACTGAAACTAAAACAGAACATAGCAATGTGGCACTGAATGTTAAAACTGGAAAACAATCAAAAATAATCCCTGAAAAAGAAAATATGGAACAACAATCAAATGATGATTCAAACACCAAATACTTTTCCCAAACAACCGAAGGTTCTTCCCAAACAACTGAATCAGAAAACGACAGTACCGAAATACCAATATCATACACCTCTCCAAAGAACACACATAGACGGCAATCCAAACGCTTAAGCCAGTGCGATCCTCCTTCCCCTGCAGACATCAAACTTGTAAGGATAAAATCGATTGTTCAAAAAATGGAAGGAATGGAAGAAAAAATTGCAGAGTTTGTAGATCCAGCTCAAAACAAGAACTATTTATATATTAGCGAGACTCTAATGAAGATACTGCTGGATTTAGATACTGTAGATTCAGAAGGATTTGACAATGTTCGCAAAGCTCGGAAAGAGGGTGTGAGGACTGCGCAGGCATTGGTGGACAAGCTTGAAGCAAAATTAGAAGAAAATAAAAGAAATTCCAATCAAGAATAGCTAGATTTGGATAGTATTTAGAACAAATTATTTGCAAGTTAATATTCTGGAGTTGATTATGTTTATTAATATGCGTATTGCTTGATAATTAGAATAACTATTTTAAATTTTTAATGCTCTTTATAATATTTAGCCTGCTTTCAGGAAATTTATTTCAGTCCCCTTTTAAATTTCAGGCTGCAAGCAGGCTATGTAATATTGGATTGATATAAAATATTAATGCTATTGTGTTATATATTTCTTATCTTTTAAGCTAATTAGGATGTAATAATAATCCTGGATGCATTTAACAGTGGGGTGATTTATATGAGAGATGGATCATTCTGTCAAAACGCTATACAAAGTATCCAAACCATAGATATCACGAACAATCCAGATGAATTAGCCAGAATTGTAGAATCTAACTGGCAATGGTTCTGAGAAATTGAGAACAAATATTTCTTGATTATGTAAAATAATATACGATCATGATTATTACATGATGAAAAAAATTGTGTGAATTTGCAATTTTGCATAGTCATCACTCTGACGACTTAATATATCAGTGATCTCATAGTATCGACCACTATTATAAAGATGGACCGCTTGCGAAAAACCCTTAAATATCTTATTCCCCAGTAGAAGGGATGTTACCTTGCCCTTGGCTTGGTACGTTTTTTAAGGATCACTTCAAAACCCATCATCAAATCTATGAAAGTGTAATCGAATCTCCCTGCGTTGGCGTCTGTTAGAGTTTCGACATACACATGCTTGTGTCTCTCTAGTTGTCTTAGTTGGCTATGTCAATGATTACGATGAGATACATTTCACTACATTCCAAGATCCGCCATGCCCATGTAAAATGTAGTGAAATGTATCTCTTTGTAATCATAGACAACTAAAGCCTCTGCTGAGGAGACTGTCTTTAGAAGCTTCGCGTACGTGCATACACTTAGACTTACATAATTCTCTAATGTCAACACCCTAATCCCAAGTTAAATAGTTTCACCAGTCAGACAAAATACATCCCACATATGCGTGGGTCGGCAATTTTCTGCTTTTTACCTTAATTAGTATCAACCGCACAAACCCATAAAAAAATTATGGCAAGAATTTTTGGACTGCTAAAAAGTGGTTGGAAAGAATGTTTGGACTGCTGAAAATGGTATTTCGATAATACTGGATACATGGTGAGTTATGTTGAATCAGTCCTAGGACTGGATCAAAATGAATTCACCTACTTTAACTGGTGATTTATTCGTACGAGATCAAGGCATGACTTGGCAAGCAATGACTTGCACTATGGAATTGCTACAAATAATGTTAAAAACCACTGTCGGAAGAGAGAGTTGCCAAAACCAAGGGTGTGTTCTTCAAACGCGGGTGTATGCACTATGCACGTTTCTCTGTCTACGTCGTAATCCAACTTGCACGTGGGAAGTAAATATTCTTTCATATTAGAGAACACTTTCAACCTTAGATGAAGATCGACCTTTGAATCGCATAAAAAACATTTATAGTGATTTAAAAGATTTCCTGGACTACTGCAGTCAATGGCGTTTTTATGGACAACCGTTGTAAGTTAACATATTTACCATAACAAAGGCGTATTTCTTCAAAAGTGCATATATGCACGTCAGGAAATTCCTTCATCCTACACATGCGTGGGTAGTAAATATTCTTTCATATTAGAGAACACTTTCAACCTTACATGCATCGACCTTTGAATCGCATAAGAAACATTTATAGTGATTTAAAAGATTTCCTGGACTACTGTAGTCAATGCGTTTTTATGGACAAAGGCGTATTTCTTCAAAAGTGCATATATGCACGTCAGGAAACTCCTTCATCCCACACATGCGTGGGTAGTAAATACCCTTTCATATTACTGAGTAAAAACACTTTCTACCTTTATTGAAACGCACAAAAATGTTGGTGATTTAAAATATTTCCTGGCCAAGGGGTGTAGCCAGCAGCAAATAAATGGGGAGGAGGTGTAATCGAAACACTATTTCATGCATTTTAGACATTTTATGATAACCTGAAAGCCACAGATTTAGAGGTTACGCCCCCCAGTTTCTTCTCAGTTTTGAAAGAATTACAAAATTGGTCCCAACTGAAAAGTTGGGTGGCTACGCCTCTGTCCTGGACTGCTTTGGATATCCTATAGATATCGATACCTGGCGTTATAAGTGAACATTCAGCTGCCAAGGGTGTATTACTTTAATCAAAAGTATGTAGTATGCATTGTTCTCTGTCTGTGCCGTAATCCAACCTTGGTTATTTCATCAACGTGATCCCACATATGCGTGGGTCTTCAATATTTTTATGTAAGAAATTCTTACAACAATGAGTTCTTACATCGTGTTTATTATTGGTGAAAACACTTAACTTGTATCCAACGAAACACCTATGATCAAAACCCACAAGAATTTTAATAATTTCTTCGACTATATACGTGTGTTGTTTCATCGCTGCATTTGTGTTGTTTCATCGCTGATCAAAGGTGTTTCTTCTGTGAAGGAATGAGAACCAGCCGTATATTTAGTTGGATTATTTACACTATCAAACCAAGATTTATACGTATATAAGATATAACTACATGATATAACTACATAAGTGCATAATTATGCTTCAAAGTGCACTGCAGCACATCTTAAAGTGTCGATGTTGTAAGTTGTTAATGCAATCTCGCCAGTTTATATATAGAGCCTTACTTGCGAGTCTGTGGCTTTTCACAGGCAAGGTTGATTGAGCTGTTGGTATATATAGCACTACAGAAACACCAAACAAATTCCTGTGAGCCACTTATTGAACTTACAATAGGTTCGCACCGTAGTTCTTTAAGTTCCCCCAATATTCCTTGAAAACCACCTTGGTTTTCGGTAATTCGATGCACGTCGCTATACTTCAGACAACAGTTATACCGGATATCAGTTCTTTCTCTCCTTTTGCTATATGTTTGGCAACTAAAAAACCATTAAAACGTCCCCCAAATCTAGTTTATTATGTTGAACCCTTATTTATTTTGACCTTATTCATCCGTTTTAAATTAATCGTTAAACTCTTACGTTACTATGGAGGACATCCGATTACGAGAAGACTCTTCCTTATAAAGTATATATAAATAGAACTTGACGTAGGAAGCGAAAAACGTATTCGTCAGGCTTATTAACATGTAATCAATAATGGGTGCAGTGCGTTTAAGCATTTCCAGCCAGTTTTCCTCCGTAGAGGAAACGCCCTTAAAAGACTTGCGTATTAATATAGGTAAGGAGTAAGTAGGGTGTGTACAGGGACGCCGGAACGATGTGAAGGCAAGGGGGGCAGATTTTCGTGAAAAGGCACTTTTGAATTGATATATACTAAGTCTAAGAGATGTTTGCAAAACATCGGGAGTTGAACTTCGCCTAATAATGTTTTCTATTTATTAGATGATAGGTGTGTGAGGGGGTTCTCCGCCAGGTGATTGTGCTATTCTTGATGCTCGATGACTGTACTTCTTGCGTTTTCTGAAGCAAATTCGTAAAAGAATCGCACTAACATTTCTGACAATTCGCTATTTCGCCAAGGCAATCCTTTAAATTGAAAGGGCACCTTTGCCCCCTTGCCCCTCCTGGTAAAAGGCAACGGGGGCGGCTGCCCCTCCTGCCCCCCAGTTCCAGCGTCCCTGGGTGTGTGCTAACATCATAGAAATAATAGATATCTATTATTTCTATGGCTAACATCCTTACTTTCAGCTGACAGATATAAGGTGGATTGCGAAGGACACAGCTCAACCTGATCGAGTCGAAAGCGTTCTAAGGGCGGCTCTGGCAGCCTCCTAATGATTTATGATTTAGAAGATTCGGCTACTATTGAAATACAACATATAGAGCCAGGCAAATCGCCACAGATTTCCCCAATTACGGCGATCCCATATAAACAAGAATTAAATTACTGTACAAAACAAGTTTTCAAGCAACTTAACAAGCTGAAACTAATAAGGCTAATAACGGAAATCTATACTGTCCATGTTCAATATAGGACTAACAACAACGTATTACATTGTTAAGCGATCTGGCTCTTAACACACTGATTTCCTGGTGCAAGGATCGTCACATTTGAAAGTTTTGGATAGTGCATGTTTGTAGTAGAGTTTAAGACCTGATTTACAAGACAGCAAACCTATATCTCTAGTACGCAAGTTACTATTTAATACGTTCCACGTTTTGCAAGTTCTTATAAAAAATGAGGTCTGGAATGTTACGGTTTTCGCATAGGGGATAACAAATCTAATCAGGTTTGCGTTCGATTCACTTCTTGTAATTCCTGATCCAGCCATGATCGGTAGATCACGTTCGTCAATGTATGTAAGATTGTTGATGATCTTGTAGATAGAAGACCAGATCCAAGTATTCGTGCCAATTCGTGCTAATGACTCCTGCTTGGAAGGATTAGTTAGGGGCTAATCTCAAACAATCTTGTCAACATTCCGGTGTGAGGAAACCGTAGTATACCCGAAGAAAATCAACGACTCTCAGTAGAGCGTTGACTGCATCTTTTCACACAAGTGCATGTCACTGATGAGTTTGCAGCGAGGATCCACCCACGGCACGGTCTCAGTATCGTAAAGGCGTGTCGCCCAACACCGATCCAACAATTTTCGAAAAAAGTTTTATACCCGCGAATATTTTAGAGCAAAGATTTTGAACAAAACTACAAAATACAGGATCTAAGCCTGCGGCAGTCTACGAATAGTTTGATACCACTAAAGATAATTAGAAATATTTTTAAACTAATTTTTTAAACAATTTTAAGTATGATTTATTTTGCTGTATAGCAATGTAAACTGTGTGCTGTGTTTACAAATTCTTAACTTCTATGTGTACAGGGTGTATAAAAAAACCTGAACCCTTTCAAATTCAAATTAGCTATAACGTATTGTAGTAATTTGACAGCTCTAATTGCTTTGAATTAATGGTTGGGTAAGAACACAAGGTCTTGTACTCATGGGACGAAACTCTGAAAAACTTTTAAATTTTCTAATTTTTATTTCTTTGAGTTTCGTCCCATGAGTACAAGACCTTGTGTTCTTACCCAACCATTAATTCAAAGCAATTAGAGCTGTCAAATTACTACAATACGTTATAGCTAATTTGAATTTGAAAGGGTTCAGTTTTTTTGATACACACTGTACAATTGTTCATCCTATTAGTATGATTATACTGTATAATGGTTCATCCTAATTAGTATTCTTTTGTAGTCGTATTTTAAGCTATTCAAAACACTCGTTGTCGTGTTTTATCAGACATAAAACGCTCGGCTGCGCCTCGCGTTTTATATCTGATAAAACACTCCTACTCGTGTTTTAAATAGTACTTCAACTATGATATCTCAAAAATGGGGCCTATAGTGAAGATAAAATGCGGGAGTCTTGTAGCTTGCCATAAGTCGACTTCTCTATTTTGACTTTAATTATTTACATACAGTACAGGGAGTATCAAAAAACTGCAACCCTATGCTATGGCTATAATTTGCATACCAACCACTGTTACATACACTCAGAGTAACACCACAAGCATCATATTCACCTGAGTACACTACACCAACACAGAGAAAAATCATGATTATTACATTACATTGATATCGAAGGAACTAGATTCGGTTCCGAAATATCGCATACTCGAACCGACCTGACCGCGTAGCTCAGTTGGCAGAGCATTGGGCTAGTATTCCAAAGGTCGTAGGTTCGATTCCCACCGTGGCCAGGCATATTTTTCAAGTTTGCCCGGTGTGGATACACACTCAGAGAACATCACAATTAAGCAACCACTGTTAATTAGTATTTCAATGCCTGTGCAACTTATAATGCTCCTGGAATTTGAAAATACGTTCTAGTATACCCTTCCTATAATGCTGAAAACCAATTTATGCGATGTCAGGACAGTGCAAGTCGTTGGCGAGCCAATACATTTCAAAAAACATAATTTCCATTGCAAATTGTCGCTCACAATTGTCCCTTGGGCATCACATTTAGTGTTTTTCCAGAAGCCGGATGGTGGAATGAAAACAGAGAAAAGCATTTCTTTTTGTTTACAAAACAATCAAATCAACCAAGCCGGATATCGCTAGTCCAAACACTGATAAAGTCTGATATGTACACGAGAGCTATCAGCTGAGCAAAAATTCACTCGTGACAATCAGAGTTAATAATACAATAGATGGTTTGGAAACTCATTAGAATAACAACAGAACTCATGATTTGTTTGTGTGCGTTGGTGTAATTGTACTCAGGTGAATATGATGCTTGTGATGTTACTCTGAGGCCACACGGGGCAAGCTTGAAAAATATGCCTGGCCACGTGGATATACACTCAGAGTAACATCACAAGCATAGTATAACTCATTATCTATGTTAGTCAACGTTTATTCATAAATATGGCCCTTCACCGTCACGTGTTTATTGTATTTTTGCAAAATCCACCAATAGCAAATTCCAATGTACCCTATTGTTCGAGTCACGGATAGGTAACTTTTCTAAAACATTGCTATTGGTTAGTTGGGCAAACGTGACGGTGAAGGACCACATTTATGAATAAATGTTGACTAACATAGATACAGTTAGATAGCTTAAGATCTACGACGTCGACGTTAGCTAGGACGTCAGGGCTAAGCAGAGGACTGGGACTACATTAGGACGACATCCTAGTCCCAGTCCTCTGCATAGCCCTGATGTCCTAGCTGACGTCGACGTCGTAGATCTTAAGCTATCTAATGAGTTACACAGGGTGTCCCAAAAAAAAGTGACACTATAAAAATTATCCTATTGTTATAATTTGAATGCCCTAGCACTAAGTTGATCCCACAGGTTCATAAACTTCTGCTTCTGGAATTTAAAATAAAAAAGCAAACCGTTTATTAGTGTAATCGTTTTGCTTGACTCGGGCGTTAAAATATTTGGACAAAACGAAAACGTTTTAAAATGCTTAAGACAATTGACCATTGGCTGAGTTCTAACGCATCTCGATCTCTATTTTTGCCGTCTGGACTCCGCACATCATATTCATACAGACATGGGTAGTCCGGGCAAATATCGGCGATTTCATCTTCTGAAACGGCCTCTGCAATCACAGCACTGCTTGTACTCGCTGTCATTTTAAGACGAAACTATTAAACACACGTACACGTATTCGCACGTATCTCTGAATTCAATATTACTCCAGGTTAAATATTGAGATCATTTCATACGCCTTGAGCAATTGCTGTGCAATTGAGGCCGCGTTTACACTGTACCGTTTTCGTAGCATTCTCGTATTGTTCTTAATCCTCAAGGGAACGCAAGATAATAGTCTAGTTCTCTCGAACAATACGAGAACGCTACGAAAACGGTACAGTGTAAACGCTGCCTGAAATGCTAGCCTGCTCGCAGACGTTGTTATTCTATTGAAATGCGGAAGATGATTTGAATGTTGACTGCAGCTATATGTTGCTTAAACACAATATAGACAATGACTTTCGATCTCCAAACTAACATTCTTTCAGTAATTCAGACTGGATATCTCTAACAATTCCAAACTGTTCTCCCGTGTCATTGCACGAGAAAACTGGAGTACCTAACCCTAGGTTAAACCTAAAATTCAAAGCAAACTTCCATGACCTTGCCCATAAATTTGGAAATATTTCTTCAGAGATCTTGTCTAGATCAGTAGGAGTTTACTTCTCTGAAGTTTTGAAATAAACAGACGTGCAGAAATACACAAACTAAAACAACAAGTTAAATTTCAACCCAGGGTTAGCGCTAATCCAGCTTTGAACAAGAATAGCTTTGAGAATAGCTTTGATGTTTGCAAGACTCACATGCGACTGAGGAATGAGTTATTATAATTAGGCAACGACATATTACAATCATGAAATCCTGCCATGCACAATCAGTGCATGTCTCTCAGTGACCAGGATTTCATGCTTGTACTAGTAATGTAGTTGCCTGTTACCTCATTCCTCAGTCGCATGTGAATTCAAAGTCTTGACAAATTGAAAATTATATCATTGCTATTAGTCTGTCAGACGCTTGTACACAAACTTGGAAACTACGAGAAAAACTAGAGTTGTGGACGAACTGATCCAGTGTTTCTTGACAAATATTAGGTTTTAAAACAAGACCATTTGCTTGGCCTGATATACGCATTACTTCAGAACGCCATATGGGTGATAACCTGACTGTAATCACAGTCATAATAGCTTTAGTATCGGCCATATCTCTAAGGATGGTTCTGAAATAGCGGTACGTGCATATGTTTTATTAAGTAATTATGGTGGATTCCTGCTTGAGAAATTCTTTTGGTTCGTTAACTTTGTCTAGCAATATAACACGTGCCTTCTTTACGTCTGACTCTGCAAAACTTCCCAAACCAACCCACGGCTGTACGTCACAACTTAATCCAGCACTACGTCAGTCTTGTAATTTACCATGACGTCACCTCAAACTCGCCACCCCATTTGTCGACTTCACAAAGAACATCAGGAGATTGCACTTCCTTTCATAGCTATATAAGAACTGACTGAGACTTGTGTTCAGCATAATCAGTTGAAATACACAAGGCTAGCAAGAAGACGTTTCCTACTTGATACAAGGAAAAGAAGTATTTTGGATATATACCTTAGCGGATTGATTGAATTATCGATTGATTTCGGAGGTAAGCTATAGATTCAATTAATGATGTTTTAACAATATTATGGGATTTAGTTGGCTAGGAAAGATATAGTCTACATGGAAATGCTGAGTTAATGATTAAGCCGAATGTGAGTGTGACGGACTTGCACCGCTCAAATATAGTACAGCATAATCAGTACGGCGAATGAAGCAGTCAGAGTTTATATGTAGAGAGAGAAACTCGGTCAAATTTCATGTTAGGCTACGAATCCTACGATAGACTCAATCAATGTTATTGACTAAGGCACCGTACGTGCATGTACCAAGTTATCTATTTATCCTGCAGAGACTCTGTGAAGTCACATTAGTGAAATGTGTACACTTGCTCGTCAACATGATTCCACGTTCTGCCTTTAAAACCGAGGCAATAAACATCTATGTTTGACCTTAGAAGTCTCCAAGGAGTCATAAAGAGCTTTGCAACTGACCTAACAGCTGTGTTTTGATTCGAACAAAGACAAAGACTTCATAAGGAATATTCCAAATCTGCCACAGACGTCGTAAGCGTCTTGGCATTTACCAGCAATTTCCTTGATCCGAACCTAGTCCCAACATGGGCAATATTTGTAAAATATGCATTCTGTTTACCATCTATACGTGACCTTCTCGCTATAGCTCCATTGTATAACCCTTATATCTGATACGCTATCTTATTTATAGATTCATTGAAAAGCTAGTGATAAAATCAGTGAAGCAAAGATGGAAATGAGTGCGCTTCCAGGGTTTATACCGAACGGGATCAACGAGAATCGACTTCGAGAATGGTATGCGATGAAACACCTTGGAAATTATAACTTTCCTCCTACGAACGTGGCACATAACATGACCCACGCAAATACGTCAAGTTTTTTTGACTGCCTTGATCGAGTAGATGACGCTACGCTCTCGTTCATGATTCACGAACTTGGATTGTACTCGCTGCAAGAACTTCCAGATTTACAAGTCATGTTTGGTAACACGAACAGAGCCAAATCATTTCCTCAATCTCAGCGGAGATTCCCACTCAGGCAATGATCATAGAATTACGAAATATTTATAGATGTACTATTAACAATGGGGTTGTAATATATTCTATAGAAATCACAGATAGCTTAAATTCCGAAAAGTATGCTATATGTTTTCGCTTTCGAATGCAAAAAGTGATAACTTGACTCTGAAGAAATTTATTGATTATAGCAATAGATACTATTCACTATTTGCCATAAAACGATTATTCTATCATGCAAGCATAAAAAGTACTGTTTGAACTTCTAAAGTTACGGAAGTTGACAGTTTTATATGCAAAATGCTGAAAAATTAGAACATATGTTAATTGTAACGATAGTCTTCTAATCTCATAAGGTTTAAAACGAACACATTGCTACTGTCACAAAAAAATTCATGACTCAACAATAACGTTTCTTTAGAGACAATTTTATTACAGATATTGGATGTATTGTTAACGGAAACAGAAACTGTATTATTAGCTGAGTTTTAGATACTCCAATAATGTATATGGCTAAGCAACTTGGTGAAAAACGTTTGCTACCTTGCTTGTTTTGATAATCTATTCAGGATTTTGCAATCGTGTGTTTTTTGTTAATGACTGAAATAAAGACCACGCATTTTTGTTTGAGAGTGTTTTGCATATTTGTGTGTGATAGACAAAATAGACTAAATGCGAGCTACTTGGGTTTGAGTTTTGAATAACAATGGGGGAAAACATGCACACTTTATTTTGTAAACATATTTTAGATTTTCTCCCCATTCAGATAACATGTTCAGCCTTTAGGGTGGCAAATTAGAAGAAAGGAAATATAGTGTGTATATTTTATATAAATATGTAAATTTTGAGTTTTGTATACGTACAATGAACTGGCTGTAAATATATAATAGAGTCTATAGAATATAATAGAGAACACGTTGAACTCTGAACAAGTCTATTGTAAAACTTATTGCTGGAACGTGTGTTGTGTGAATTGAGAAGAATAAAATGATTTATTTATAACAAATTGTGCTTTGACCTTGGGTCTATTATATTCCGTCTTGGTGTCCGTCCACGTCGTGAGACTTGATCATCCGAAACTGTTGCTATAGCAACATGTACACACCGCCAGCAACACTGAGCAACTCCCATTGCGCAAATTAAAACAGACCAGTATATTCTTCAAAGACGAAATTCCTGCAAAATTAATCCTTTGGTGATGCGTGGATTGTATCCCAGTGCAGCATTAGCACAATTTTTTATAGGTCTCCGGTTTCAGAGTTTTCACTTTCTGAAGGTATATTGACATAAACTTCCCGTAATCAGAAGACAGATTCCCTTTCCATTAGGCATTCTTTAGTATGTTTCGATCAACATTCCGGTAGTGTTTTTATTGAAATTCGCCTATTTGTTTATTAGCTATTTTTAATATTATTAAAAGTAAGAAACTAAAACAAAAGAAGCGCCTACGAAAAACCTTCATTGGCTCAACTAGGATTGGCTAGATCTATATAATTTTCCGGCCACACCGGTATGTTTTGGTATTAGAGCAGACAGTAGTTTTTTAACCCCAAAAGGTTAATGCTATTACAGCCTGTTTCATGATGTGTCTGTAACGGCGGTTTTCCACTAGGCGAAATTTTTCGATCGAATCGAAATTTTCTTTTGTCCTACAAGCACTCAGATGGAACTAAACAGAAATCTTTTGAATTTGAACAATAGAAATTTCGGTTCCATCGAAAAATTTCGCCTAGTGGAAAACCGCCTTAACGGCAATCTTTTTGAATTAAAAAACCTATAATACTTTCCATATAAATTCCATGTATCCCGACTCAAAAAATGACGTCATAATATACCATAAGCGAGTCGGTTTATACACAAAGTTTTTCGAGTAGCTTTGGTACGAGAACTGCCCCATTTGGGGAAATTAATCATTTGTATTTATAAATCAGTTTCTTATTCCTATAAATTACTCAAAATATTCGGTAAAACGGGGAACAAGGACAAAGAAAATTTTGTAAATATGATTGGCCGACACAAATTTTCGGTCGGAATTTTCAACTTTTAACAATGATATTAAAATATTATTATTAAATAAATATTATTATTTGCAGTCAACTAAGAATAGCAAACCTTACCTAGTCTTTTGTTGCATTTTAGACCCATGTTCTTTGATTCGAGTATTTTACTGTCAACCAAATCCGAGACCAAATCGATATACAATTCTAAAACAAGTCAAATTTAATATATTTAACAACAAAAGCGAAGTTAAGGCAAACCTCATTCATAAATTCGACAAACTACTAACCGTTTCAAGTATTATTTGGCCTTTTGAGCCATTTAGAGCGAAATTTTCATCACTATATTTTAAGAATATTTCTTACAGCCATTTTGTTTTAGTTCACATGTTGCATAACATTACAAACTTTCCCGCCAAACATTCTTGAGAAAATTGACCAATGGAAGCTCCTCATTTATACCACAAGATGGCGGAAAAAATGCAACAATGCCAATGAACAATGCACAGTCATTATTCCTGAATTAAAAACATTAATTAAAAGGGCACTCAAACAAAAAACGGCTAAGCAAAGTAAACAATAAACCGAACTAACTTAATTTAAAACTGAATAGGGCCATCCGTAATTGAGTTAAAGTGTTTTTCTCCGTAGAAGTCCATCATATTGTCAAATCAGAATTCAGAACAGGATTCAGTGTGAAGCCTTCACTCGTCAGCATGAATATACCGTGTGGCGTGGTCGTCCATTACCAACGGAAGACAAGACAATGAAAAAGTCGAATTACAAAAAGCGCCGAAATAGACTGCGATCATGGAGGTCATCGACCTCCTTCATTCGGAAATTTTGCATGTCATACCATATTCGGCATGGGCCTTTTGAGAAAAGTCCGACGCAATTAGTTTTTGAACTTCCGTGAATTCAAACCCACGGAATTTTTGGTTTTATGCAAAGGTTGTAATCCCGTTAGCAACGCCTAAAATAACATTTCGTACTGCAATGAGGGGATTAGTTTTAAATTTTGAACCTATATGGTTTAAATCCATGTTAGCTAATGAGGATCAATACCAAGTAAACAGAGTAAAGTAATAAAGGAACACACAGTTGAGGTTATGGATTATTCCTAACTTCGTAACATGCGTGTAGAACAGAAATAATGTAATGAAAAGTATCTGTGGTATTGGGGTCTGTTCATACGAGCTCAACTATTTTAAACCGAGAAACTGGTGAGGTCCGCATGTCATTGTTCAAACAGATAGAAATCATTGTGTGTTCGTTCAGTATGAGAGGCGAGCCAGCCCGGTTGGTGAGATCTCATCTTGGGCTGAACTATATTATTGTTGAGCGCCGCATAGTTGGAAATAATTCAACCCACTTGGCACTTGAGCGAGCTTCCCGACCAACTGGTCTCAGGCCCAATAGAATAAGCTGCAGTATGTATTCAAGATGTACTATTAATGGACCATTCCCCAATTAACCAAAATGTTGATCTCAACACGTCTAGACAAAATTCCATCATAGCATGAAAGAGCATCACAAAATTAGTAATATTCCAAAGTTTCGTTGCGAAGTGTTGTAAAATGCGGATAATATAGCCTTGCGAAACGGGAAATGGTTACCACTTTTCCAAAATTTTGATCTTAACTAGCCTAAACAAAAATTTCATCACAGCTTGAAACAGCATCACAAAATTAGTAATATTCCAAAGTTTCGTTGCAAAATGTTGTAAAATGCGGATAATATAGCCCTTGCAAAGTTTGTAATTTTCAGTCATTTTGTATTACGCACTGAAGTGGTAACCACTTCCCGTTTGTAATCTAAAATGACTGAAAATTGCAAACTTCGCAAGGCTATATTATCCGCATTTTACAACATTTTGCAACGAAACTTTGGAATATTACTAATTTTGTGATGCTCTTTCAAGCTGTGATGAAATTTTTGTCTAGACTTGTTGAGTTCAAAATTCTGGTTAATTGGGGAATGGTCCATTGACGACGATGCGATCACGTACGATGACACGGTTAGGTGGAAGGGTGTGGTCGCTGTAGGCTTGGGAGATGACTATAAACCTTTGTTTTTGTACTTTTTGAACAGGATACTGAATAATAATTAAGAGTGACGAACATTTGGTTTAGTTTACGGTTTGAGCATAGTTAATAGAGGAGATGGTTTGGAAACTTATTAGCATTACAATAAACCTCACTATCTATGTTTTTGTTCAGGTTTATGCAAAAATGTGGTCTTTCGTCGTCACGTGCGTATTGTATTTTTGCTCAACCAGCCAATAGCAACAGTTTTGTCCAATTGCCCATCCATGACTTTAACAATAGGACATTTTGAACATTCCTAATGGTTGACTTGGGAAAAATACAATACGCACGTGACGATGAAAGACCACATTTTTGCATAAACCTGAACAACATAGATAATGAGGTTTGTTGTGATTTTATTGTAATGCTAACGAGTTTCCAAACCATCTCCTCTATTAACTATGGTTTGAGTAAGTTCGGCCCAGTAATTGATTGCCAGACAGTAGGTTAGTTGCTTACTTCCCTTGAATTAGTTTGTTAGTGAGTGGTTGGTTCATTAATTGGTAATTAGTTATGTAATAATTTGTTAATTAATTTGTTAGTTGGCAGTTTCCTAAAGCGTTTGCAGCCGTGAATTCCGGTTCAATTAATCACGAAAATTGAATACTTGTCTTAATCCCAAGATTATGAATCGCGCAAGCCCTTGCCGAATTCTCATTGAATGACAGCACTCAAACTCCGGAAGAGATGAAAATGAATAATGATGAAGCAAGCCAACTAGATATTCATATTTCCTGATACAATCTGTAAAGGGCGCGCCGGAGTCAAAAATATTATTTTATCTATTTTTTGTTATGTATATATATAATATATTTAAATCTCAAATAGATTTCACTTCTAAGTATGTAATTACCATCAAATTTATGTGATAGGCATTTTAAATATAGACATTTTAAATTGCATGCAAATTAGCCGAACAAAGGTCTCTTTATTTCCTATTCATCGTGCGTGTTCTGCACTGTCTGTTTTACCTTTTATGTCTAAACTTTATAGAGTCGAACGCCTCGTTACGGTCTTACGGACACCTCGTGATGACGGACACCTCTCTACATGCTTCCTTTTTCCATTCATCGCAAGAGTCGACTCGCAAGTTCGATGCGAATGCTGTACAAAAGGGCATTTATGCATGTCCTATACACATCAAATATGCAAATGAAAGAAAAGATATAACATTGACCGAAGCCTGATCCTAAACAACTCTGTAATCATGACTGAACCTACTTGTGTTTAGAGACTTCAGTCAATGTTACATCTTTTCTTTCATTTGCATATTTAGAGCTCTCTAGAGTGTAGAGGACACAAAAACATGGCAGCATTTTGAGGGACTCCCTGAGATCGTTTTGCGCTTCCCCTCAGATTTTTGCATCTCACGTAGTTGACTTAATGGGGGCAGGGGCACATTCTAACCCCTAATATTCCATGAGGGCCATGAGCTAGGATTGCTGTACCTCCCCAAAACAATTTCCCACCTCCCCCAGCATTTCCACCAAAATCCAGCTTTGCTTGAAAATATCCCTATAATACGGATATTTAGCTGCAAATGTAAAGTGTATGCTGATCACCCTTACAGATTTCCTAAAATAGCGAACACACTACAGCATCTGTACTGCAGGATATCTAGTTAGAGACTTACCCTAAGACGATAATGCTATCAATTAGTTTCAGACAGATTTCGTAATAATCACCGCCAGCAATGCATGTGGGTCGTATTTTTAGAAGAAAAAAAATACAATGTCTATTTTGAGTTGCATGCAATACGAGACATGTTTGTTTGGAACAGGTTGAAACAAGCGATTTGATAGTCAACACAAAGTAGATTGGAAGCCTTATGGGGGGCAAGCAAATGATGACTGGGGGGGGAGGGGGGGGGGAGTTTGGTCGTCATCTTGTGCTGGAATTTTTTGCGCGATTTTAAACGTATTTTTCTTTCCTCTTTGCACTTTGATTTTTGTTTTCCTTTACCTCCCCCCCCCCCCTCATCATTAAAAAATAGTGTTTCCATTGCATGTATTTGCCAGCAATCCCTCCGTGATAAATATCTTTCCCTTTAGAGTTGTTGACCACCAGTATTACACTGCCCACTTGGTGAAACCCAGCTACAACGCCACGGTTTAACTCAGTTTTAAAACAATGTTAAAAAAATTCAATCAACACAGTATATCCGTCGTAAAATATCATCAGTGTATAAGACCAAGTGTTGCGCAACTATCTATTTTAATAATATATATATTACAATATTTAGGTACAATTGTACATTTGCGCGAGCAGCGTAATCCTGAATATTTTGCGGGCTTTGGAATATTTCGCGCGCATTTTTGGGTTAGCTCAAAAAAAGAACTACCGCGTCATGTAGGCGAGCCCGTCTTGTTCTCACTTCTCAGGACATTGATTGAGCTTTTAATTCATGTCTATGTTTACATTTTTACTTCCCCAGCGTTTTGTCCGTGGCTTTGTATCGTCCGTCTTTGCACATTGGCAGTTTGCTGCGCGGCTCGCGTCCTGCGAAATAGCTGCGTCAGGTCAGGTAATGTGTACAAAGATTGCAGTTCGAGTTTTTCAATCATTTTTGTTAACAAAACATCATCGACCATGTCCAAACAGTCTAGGAATTCGCAGTTCGATGACCTTGGATAACTCGTATAGGTCGTGTGTGTCTGTGCCCGTAGTTCATTCAATCCACCGTGGTATGACATGCGCGAGGACTGTTGATGAAGCAAAGCTTTCTGCATCTTCCTCAAAGTGAATTCCTGTTTTGCTTTTCAACTTTCACAATTAATTTCCTACAGAGAAACAAACGATAATAAGTTAATGTGTACAAGTTCACACAGATCCTGCTGATTAATAAGACATGATAGTAAGCGATATAAGCAAGTGCTGTCACCGTAAACATTCTTTCATTTCGAAAGGATAGTATATTGCTAACTCCTTTAAATTTTAATGTGGGTTGAGTGTAAAAACATGTCAAAAATGCACGGAAGTGTTTCGCAAACAAAACCACACTTAAAACATATTTCCCTAAGGGAAGCTTTAATCTGGATACTTTTGTAATGGACTTTTGCATTCCAGTTGATGGTTTGCGAGAACATCTGTACTTTATTACTACAGATACGCTTGACTATTCGCAGTCTAAGCGCAGCATTAGCCGAGAGTTATCAACCCGGCAATGTAAAACTGTCCCTCGACTCAGCCTATACATTGTCTGTATCGATGTCGGTACGGTATATTATGCGCGCTTAGTACAATTACGTATATTTTTTCATTAACACGGAACATAATTGAATCGAAAGTATGGGCACGGTTTGGCGAATTTGACATACAGCCAAACTGAAACTAGGCGAAATATTTCAAATATAGCTTCAACTTTTCTCACAGACTAAGCACCATGCACAGCAAATAACTAATTCAAATAATAGATGACCATGAATTGAATATACGCGCACAGAATAATCCGCCAACAATGTTACGAGTGACTCGTATTATGTTTGTCACGAACACATTATTATACCTCCGTTCCTTTATGTTTTCTAGTATAAAGCTCTAACAAACACTTGAATACAAACTAACCTTAATATTGCTTCAATGAATCTTGTTGATGCCAGAAGAATCGCGCAGATGTCCGTTCCAAAGCGCGCGAGCGAGTCGAAAGCAAGCTTGTGGAATGTGTGACAGTCTATGACCTGTTTTACCCCCGTATTTGCTTCAGAGCTTCAAAGCACCGTCGTGACCCTATCATCTGCTACATTTCCTGTTATTTGCTCTCAAAAAGGCTCTGTGGTATCATTCAGTCACTAGGTGTGTAATGACGCAATACAGCACCGACCGCCAGGGAAGTTTAGTGAATTCTGCCAATTTCCGGTCTGGATACTTTCGTATTTATATTTCACCAAATGTAAACATGTATACAAGTACGCCACCATAAAATACCCTTCCTTTTATACTGTACGGAACACAATATTGTATAATGATACTATGATATTGTACAATATTCTGATCATATTTGCATGGGATTTTAGTTCAGAAATCGACAACTCGTTTTGGATATTCGCTCTAACAACTTGTTACCATGGTCGTCTATAATCATGCAAAAAATCTTATCATCCAAAGGGCTAATTTCCTGAATTCTTTTCTTTGATTGTTTTGCTAATGTTTCTTTGACCGATTTATCACGTGCGTGGGAGGGTCTGGCCTTTCGAGGCAGCGAATGGTAACAAAGCGATGCCCACAGTTTTTCTATATTAAAGCTTTGTACCTGGTCCGCATTCTACTGTGCAGATACTTTCGTTACATAACATACTCTTAAGTCTCAAGTGAACCGTGGGCCATGCTTTCATTTCCCTGCAATTCCTTTTTAGACAACATGGCTCTATATCAGAAATTGCGTTGTATGTTGCAGCACATATAAACATGGCCTTAATCGCAGTACCACACTACATGGTGTTTTATATATACTGTATTGTACTGTATTCTGTTGTCAATGTTCTGTGGTGTTGTCCTCTACGAAACAGCGCTGGGCTCGTACAATACGCAGAGCCTCTCGGGGGGAACCAGGCTCTGCTCGCAGGGTACAAATGAAGGTGCCTTATTTGTATATGCCATTTTTTCAAGTATTCAAAATTTTCACACACTTAATAACAGGGAATAAAGCCCCACCCGACTACCAACACCTAACTTTCGTATGTGGTACGCACTTGACTTTATTGTTGCTTTATTGCTTCTCATTGCAATTAGAATACATTAATAATATACACATGGAAGTATTGCCTCATGCAGAAAGTCATGCGATATTGCAAATTATCCTAACTCCCATAAAAAAAACATTTTCAGAGAAACACGGAAAATGTTATTGGAAATGCAGCATTAGTACTAGTATTAATAGGTATTTAAGTCAATGTGATAAAATCTCAACCTGTAATTAATTATCATATATTATAATTTCACACACGAGTTCTTTAGTCAGCATTTCAAAAACGCAAGAGATATTTCAAGTGTTTAAAAATTTCCGGCCTATGGTTTTCATTTCATGAGAACTTTTGGGAGTTGTTCTTTAATTATGTCTGGTTGCGGTTAATAACCACTCGGTTCCATAGATAGCAAAAACTGTTTATCATTTAAATTATCATCAATTATCTTGATTTAATACTTATATGGTGCGATGTAGATCAGGGTCTTTGAAATTTCTTGGTTAAAAATATTCTTCTTGTGGTACTATAATAACCTTATTTCTACTAGACAGCCCTTATCAGTAGTTTAGAGGCTCCTTAGAGGTTCTAGTAGAGATGTGACGGTCCAGTAATATTCATCCGATATAAATGCAAAGACAAAACCTGTACAGTCCAGTGTTTGGTAGAGTCAAACTGGAAGCGCTCTTCTGATTGCGGGGAAATTATCATCAAGCAAACAGTGTCAGTGAAATATTACGAATAGGTTGCCGGCAACGTATGGCCACCCTTTGTTGCTGCAAATCATAGCTCAATGTCCATGCCATATTTAGCTCCATTTATAGCCTAGCAATGCATGAAAGGTTGAAAAATTATTGCTACAGCTTTGTTACACAGTTGTTCAGCTATCATTTAAACGCTTTCAGAAATTATGCGCTCCTCTCCCCAGTGTCCAGGCATCGAGGCCCGGTTATACAGAGGCCCGTGGAATTGTTATCCTACTTTCCCGTTTGTCGGCAGTGTTGATTTTACTTCGGCATGATCCAATTGCTGAAGCTGGATGACAGAGTCCTTTATTATATATATAGAACAAGGAACACAGAGACCCAATATACGTAAACGGAAATTGACTGTTAAATCGAATGAGGTCACGTCAAAACATACCATCGCGTGACTCGCGTGAGATTTTTAAAGACGGGAAATCTCGCGTGGAAGAGCAAAACGTCGCGCGATAAAATCCTACGAACTCATTGTATTACTGAAGATCAGTTTAGTTCAATTTAGGTTCAATACGTTCAAGATCTTGGAGAAACTGACAATTAAAATTTTAAAACCACAATTATATTTCAAGGTTTAAGAAAAGTTTTCATTTAGCATAAACCAATAGTTTCTATATACAGTACAATATGGTCAGTCTTAAAGGCGGTTTTCCACTAGGCGAAATTTTTCGACCGAATCGAAATTTCCCTTTGTTTCATGAGCTCTCGAGCAGAACTAATTGTAAAAAGACAAAGAGAAATTTCTTTTCGGTCGAAAAATTCCGCCTCGTGGAATCGGGCCTTAACAAGAGATTTAGCAATTATTTTCAGGGTAAGACTATTTCACATAATAAACATTTCATTTGTACCACACAGTTTTGTATGAATATTTTTACAATGTTCTTGTAAAAATCCACCTCAAGCAAGAATACGTTCAGTTGCAACATGCACTGTGAAAAACGTCATCACATAATCAGACAGCACGGATATGTTATAACAAGTATACTGTAGCTATCATCATATCACATACTTCCTCCCAGTACAGCAGGCGCATTTTCCAGCGGAATTCCGGTGAAAAATTGAAAGCTTTGCGTTTCACATTGTGCTGATACAATAGAATGGTCCCGGTTTTTGTGCGAAATGTCCGCTGAATATACGAGCCCGCTCGAGTGGAAGAAAATTTGCGAAATATGAAGCCGTTTTTCTCGTTTACTGACCGAGAATCATTTCTCAATAAGCAGTAATCTAAAAGTTACGTTCTCTTTTCTGGATTAAGTTTAGGAGGTTTAAGCAGCTTTCCTCCAGTTTTTTTCGGCTTCTTTTTGCCTTGTTTAAAATCTCTCCAACTGTTCACACGATCTTGACGACTGTCCTGCACATAGCGATGAGAAGAGTTACGGGCTGTTCCATTATGGAGCCGGGCTAGTCCCGGGATCATTCGTTTAACAAAGCTCTTATCACGGCTTTGATAAACATCCAAAATATTTCAAAGTTGAATTAGCTTAGGTTTGATTCCAGTAATAGTGTAAAGTTCATTCAAACGATTAGGAAAACATTTTCGTGACCTGCATGTGCATCGCCATATTTCAATTTTATTTAATTAACAAAAACCATCGTCATTGAAGATTTTTGCGATGCTATTTATGCACTCAAGGGACAACATGCTTCACATGCGCTATACCTTTCTTTTTATACACAAGAGCAGAAAATGCAGTGAAGCTTTGATTCACAGTGACTGCAAAGTGCGTTTGGAAGTGGCCACGCGAGTGAACAAAGCCTATTGAGGTCAGGTTACATTATTTC